TAGGATGACAACATTGTTATTGAACTGCCCTTCAGGTGCCCTTGACCTTCTAATCGATAGAAGACCCCATGCCTCGTCAATTTGCTATAAGTAATAAAAAATTAATTCAGTATAATGATAATGGTATAAAAAATAAGACTATAAATTCAGTAAATATGTTGTGATTACTTACATCATTGAACAGCCATTCACCTGGCTTCAAGATGATCTGGAAGAAGTCCTTCCTCCAATCTCCAAAACCGCACTCAATCAGCTCAGAGTCCGTACTAGAATCAGCGAACCACTTGTTGAAGGCCTCGACTGCATCGTTAAAGGTCCACATCTTCTTCTTCACGTTACGTAGGGGATCTGTGTAAGGCGACTCAATATACTTGCTGGGCCTCTTAAGTCACTTTTCATTATTCGATTCAGACTCTGGCTCTGAATGAACCTGTTGCTCAAGCTGATCCTCAGGCTCTGGCTGGGCCTGTGGGTTAAGTTCTGCCTCAAGCTGAACCTGAGGCTTAAGTTCTGCCTCAGGCTCAAGCTGAACCTCTGGGTCAAGTTCTTCCTCAGGCACTGGCTTTGGCTATAATTGTTGTTTCGCTAGACATGCTATATTGTCCTTAATTTCTCTAACAGATACTTCTAGCGAGTCTAGCCTCTTGTTGATGGCATCAAAATGTCTACTATTGTACTCTACCATCCTGTGATAGAGTATGTCAACTATGTGATCAATAGACATACCATCTTGCTTGCTCGACTGTTGTTGTTGTTGTTGCTGTTGTTGTTGTTGTTGCTGTTGCTGTTGCTGTTGCTGTTGCTGCTGCTGTTGTTGTTGTTGTTGTTGTTGGGGAAGTTGTTGTTGTTGTTGGGGAAGTAGTTGTCGACGAGCCAATTGTTTCGGAGGCTTCGATTGCGGGACATGGACCATTCTTGCACCAGAGTCCAAAAATGATGCAAGCTGGTCAATCTCAGGATCATCTTCTTCGGCATAAGGCATATACAACCTCATGCACATACTATTCATTTCCTCCTCAGTGGGATAAAGAATTGGTACGGCCATTCCCTGTATATTAAAAGAACATACATTCAATGATTATTTAGGTGGAAACATATTGTAAAAAAAAACAAATATGCCTATTTTGTAAAATTTACACCTATAAAAATATTGTATTTAAACCCTTACCTCGCCACTGTGCATGAGGTCGTCTATCTGTCTAACCTCAACCAATGAAACCCGGCGTGCCTCCCATTTG